CGAAGATGCAGAATTGGAGGCATTACTTGATCAAGACTCGTGTCAAAATCAAGAAGAATTGGCACGATCATTAGGAGTGACTCAACAAGCCATTTCAAAACGCCTCAAAGCCATGGGAATGATTCAGAAGCAAGGAAATTGGGTGTCGTACGAATTGAAACCGACAGATGTTGAACAGCGTTTGTTTGCTTGTGAACAGCTGCTTGAAAGGTAAAGACGGAAGGGATTTCTGCATCGCATTGTGACTTGTGGGGACGAAAAATGGGTTCATTACGATAACTCCAAGCGCAGAAAATCATGGGGAGTTCCCGGCCATGCTTCCACGTCGACGGCCAAACCGAATATTCACGGCTCCAAGGTCATGCTTTGTATTTGGTGGGACCAGCTCGGTGTAGTGTATTATGAGCTGTTAAAACCGACTGAAACAATCACAGGCGATCGATATCGAACGTAATTGATGCGTTTGAGTCGAGCATTGAAAGACAAACGGCTGCAATGCAACGAGAGACACGATAAAGTGATTTTGCAGCATGACAATGCTCGACTCCATGTTGCGAAAGTTGTCAAGACATACTTGGAAACGTTGAAATGGGAAGTCCTACCTCACTCGCTGTATTCTCCAGACGTTGCTCCCTCTAACTATCACTTGTTTCGATCAATGCACACGATCTGGCTGACTAGCATTTCCGGTCTTATGAAGAAGTAAAAAATTGGATCGATTCGTGGATCGCCTCAAAAGATGACCAGTTTTTTCGACGCGGGATTCGTACGTTGCCCGAAAGATGGGAGAAAGTAGTGGCCAGCGATGGACAATACTTTGAATCATAAATGTATAACCAGTTTTTTACAATAAAGCCTCGAATTTTCAGAAAAAAACGGCGGAAGCAAAGTTGTACACCTAATAGTATAGATGAAAAAGAAAACGTCGCAGCGAGACTATCAATTAACTATCACGTCAATAGTATCACACGTCTAGAGAGAATTGTCTAGATGTCTAGATGTCTACAACTAAATGTTTCGGTGTTGACTACTGCGTCGAGGCATCGTAATAAAAATATTGGATATGAACCAGATATCGCATATAAATTCACCATATTACTTTTATAAGACGAGTATTGTGTCATTCACCATTTCTCGCACTGTACGAAATATTATGTTAATGTCCAGTATACCCTAATAGAAACATAAAATAAAATACATAAATATCTTCAAAATCAGATCACTTTAATACTTTGAGTTTGATCTGAGTGACCTTAATTTTAAGTACATATATTATTATTTTCTCCTGCGCGGCATATCGGTTATCTATTTTATCGTGTCTAAAGATTGCTGAGATCAGTTCGCTTTGGCATATGGAGTTTAGTTCGAATAGCTTTAACTTCAGATGTATGTATTATTTCTTTTCCCCTTGCATATATCATCTATGTTATCATGATTGGAGAATCTTCTCGGGATCAGTTCGCTTTGGCACATAGAGCTTAAGTCATTAAGAATAACCTCAGTTTTAAATAGAAACAACATAGAGTGCTGCTTCCTAGCGAAAGATCAGTGTATTATAAAATATTGTAGTAGAAATTTAATATTGAAATTTTCAATTTAAGGTCCGAATCTCATCTTTGCATGTTCAAATAGAACATCATATTTGCATCGGCTTTGGTGTCTTAAATTTCAAGACTAAAGGGTGCAGTACAAAGAAAAACTAATTTTTTAAATGTAGTTTTATTCGTTAAAAATAGAGTTTCACGTGACAATTACTCGAGAAAGTCGCGATGTGTACAATTAGAGAGCTACTTGTGTAAAACAATAAATAAAAATATCACAATTGTAGGAAACGTGACATGTGTCGTATTCGTCACAGATTTGTAACAGAATTAAAAATTTTAAAATTATATATATATATATATATATATATATATATATATATATATATATATATATAT